ACCAGTTTTTTGGTTATTTTAAACAATGCTGTAACAAACATTTTTGAATATACATCTTTGTGTGTGTTTGTACACAGATGTATATTCAATATAAGCATGTTATGTTTTGAAATCTCTGGTTAACTTTTCTGTCTTTCCCTTTCCAGCTCAATTCAGTAAGTCTTGGCTACGAATACAACAAACTCCTCTCTCTATTTCCACAATTTCTTCATCCCTGAGTCAGCCTGCCCTCTGGAGTTAGGTTTCCAGGATCCTTAAGAAATGAAAGGTATGTTTCCAAACTTAACAGGGATAACAGAGATCCTGAATTTTGCAATATGCATTACATTAGATACCATATGCTAACACATGTACAATTTTGTCAGGACAATGTAATACACAAACAAACCTACCCCAAAACAGCTCTGGCTAATAACTTTAGTTTAAATCTTCTGCCCTGCTCTCTGACATAAAGCAATGATGTATCAATTACATATGGATGTATCTATGTCTGAGGAGGAAAAAGAACAGAATGAGTAATATCCTATGCAAGTGGTCCAGGGAACAGCCCAGCCCAAGGCTTTAGATTTGAGATCAAGGAAGCAGGTATTTAAATTAAAAAAAAACTAAGGCCTAAATCAGACACTCACTTTCAATGCTCTGATATCCAGGTCTAAAGAGTGGCCCACCAACACAGCATCAGAAAGAAGCAGTGTTTGTAACTGTCTCTGTATATCTTTGAGTTTGGTCATCACTGGGTTAAGAATCTTCTTTGTGATTCTGGAGAAGCTTTTGATGAAAACAGAAAAATGGACAGACCAGGATATCAGCATATTTGCATCCCAAAAGTCATTTCACAAAGAATATTAAATTTTGTTTTCAATTTCATATGTGTTCATTGAAGAAAAGGTTAAAATACAAATAAGCAAAAAAATTACCCACAATTCCACCAAACAAGTATCATCACTTTTCACATTGCAGTCAATGTTCTGCCATATTTTTGATACATGTATATATATTTCATTTTTATAAAAATCCAATCGTAATGCATATACTGCTTTATAACATGATTTTGTCATTTGCAATATACCACAATCAAGTTTTCCTACCAATAATCCACTTCAACACATCCTTTTAAATGGTTATTAAAACTCTACTCACTGCTACTGAGTAGATTCCAACTCACAGTGACCCCAATGGGTTTCTGAGGTGGTAAATCTTTACAGAAGACAATTGCCCCATCTTCCTTCCATGGAGCAGCTGGTGGGTTTGAACTGCCAGCCTTCTGGTTAGCAGTCAAATGCCTTGGCCAAAGGAGTGCCACCAGAGCTCTTTTAAATAGGCATAGAATATTCTAATCCCTTACTTTCAGTCATTTATGTTCTCCTGTTTTTGCTATACTATGACAAACATAGGAGCTCTGGTAGCATAGTGCCTAAGGCAATTGACTGCTAACCAGAAGGCTGGTGGTTCAAACCTACCAGCCACTTCTTGGAAGGAAGGTTGGGCAATCCACTTCCATAGTGACACTGCCTCGGAAACCCAAGGAGGGGTCACTAAGGGTTGGGTCTGACTCGACGGCACATAACAACAACAACAACATGACAAACATGCTGATACATACATTTCTGTCACACATGACTGTTCCCTAAGAACACTGTCTAATTATCAAGGCTGCTAATATCATTTTCATGCTAATATCACTACACAGCCTGTCTACATCTAACTAAGCATGCATCTGTAGACACAATGCTTCTTTTGCCTTTTTCTTTGCCTAAAAAGAGTCAGTGTACATAGTAGAGCTAACAAGGGACAAGACTGTAGTCACTTCTTGGTCACAGCCAGCTACCCAGAGGGACCGAGTAGTTGAACCAGTGAGCTCGGGACCATAGTCACAGGGGACATCAAGCTCAACTGGCATAACATACTACACAAAACATTGTTCCACATCCTACTTTGGCGAGTAGCAACTGGGATCTTAAAAGCTTACAAGCAGCCATCTAGATGCAACGGTGGGTCTCTCTTCATCCAGAGCAAAGAAGAAAGAAGAAAACCAAAGATTCATGGAAACAATTAGTCATAGTGACTGGTATACCATGCAATCCTCAGCCTGTATGACTATGAGACCAGAAGAACTAGATGGTGCCTGGCTACTGCTGTCAACCACTCGGAGAGGGGTCTATGTAGGAGATCCTGGATAGAGAGGGAGAACAATGTGGAACAAAACTCAAAATCATTTGGAAAAAAAAAAAGAGCGGGGCGCACCAGGTTTGTTGGTCTGATAGAGCCTGGTGGAACCATTGACACTATGGCCCCTAACTGCCCTTCAGGTCTGGAACTGAACCCACACCTGTGGCTTCCAGTCAAACAAAAGACAGGCATATGAGTTGAACATTTACCTGAGGTAGATACACTCCTTGGAGACAACATTCTTGGGAGAATAGAACGGTTGTTTATGCACGGAGAGACAGCTCAGGGGGCAGGAGTGCATGGAAGGATGAACATAGGGAAGAGGTAACTATTGGGAAGAAGTGGGAGGGGAACTGTTGCATTATGGTAAAATGTAGTCAGTGTCATGAGACAAAGTATATGTGAACTGCTGTATGGAAAGTGAATTTGCTCTGTAAATTTTCACCCAAATCACAATTTAAAAAAAAAAGTCAGTATAGTCTATGCATTCTGAAATTACATGTAAATCTTTGGAAAGATAGACTAAGACTGTGAGCCCCACACTTTTGTTATGGGAAAATTTAGTTTTGTCTTGTGGGGAAGGGGTGTCAAAGCAGACTAACCTCTTTAGATATGAATGCCAAAGAATGATTTTCAAATGAAGCCTTACCAGAAAGCAAAGCTCTAGTTTGGTAATGATTACAGATAATGATTACAATTAAGAGATTCTGTGACAAGGAAGAGAATATTCTAACTTAAGGTCATAAGAGAAGAAGAAGGGCAGAAGCATTATGCATTCACATTGTGCAATTTCAGTATTAAAATTTACTGATGTGTTGCCCCAACCTTTCGATAATATGTAGTAGATAATAGCTAACTAAACAGAAGCTAGGAGCTATTCCTGTTCAGTCTTATTCCACTCTAGTGTGACAGCTGTAGGAAGAACTGGAGGTAAGGTGAAGAACACTGGGTAAAGTAGTCCAGAATCTTGTTGTCAGGTTTAACAAACTCATCCATCACACAGTAGCCTCCTTCAGCAACCAGTGAGATTTGTGTTAGTTCTCTTCCCTTGGATGTGAGGCACTGAAACATCAAAATGTAGTCAGGCTGTCAAGCAGTGGAAGAGCCTACTTCCACTCATTATTCAGACAATGTCAACTGCCAGCTAACCTAAGCTCCTGAAGTCCCTGTGGCAATGGCATAGTCCTTCCTAATTAGAGGATCCACTGGGAATGAAATTAAAGCTATGCAGGCTGCTGAATGTTAACACTTAAGAAATCAATGTAGTCCAATTTCTCTGGGAAGGATATACTCAAGGAAGGTGAATGGACATAGTATCTTCCAGAATAGTATCTACCACTTACTGAGTATGTACTACATTCCTAGTATTATGCTAATAACCTACTACCACTGAATCAATTCTAAGAGTGATCCTGTAAGACAGAGAACTGCTCCACTGGGTTTCCAAGGCTGTAAATCTTTAAGGAAGCAGACTGCCTCATTTTTCTCCTGCAGAGTGGCTAGCAGGTTCAAACCACTGACCTTTTGGTTAGCAGATGAATGCTGTAACCACTATATCACCAGAGTGCCTATTATGTTAATAGGTAATATTTATATTAAGCACATTCTATTATAATCTATTACTGTACTAAGTACATGATAACTCTATGAGGAAGCTTCTATTATTATCCCTACTTCACAAAGAAGGAAGCTGAAGCTAAGAGAAGTTAGGAAATTTGTGCAAAGTTACATAGACATTAATAGGCAAAACTAGGATAAACCCATTGCTGTCGAGTTCTGACTCACAGCGCCCTTAGAGGACAGAGTAGAATGCTCCATAAAGTCTCCAAGGCTGTAATCTTTATGGAGGCAGACTGCCACATCTTTCTCGTGTGGAGCAGCTGGTAGGTTCAAACCACCAACCTTTCACTTAGCAGCTAAGCATTAACCAAGACTCCTTAAAGGCAAGATATGTCAGACTCAAAAAAACCTGAGTTATTAGTTGCCACTCTCATGAACTGAGAAACTGTTCTCTGAGAACTAGGTGTGAGGGGATGCAGTCTTTGGAAGGAGACTTAACTAGAATTCTAAACCAAGTAAAACCCAAAGTAAAATGCAACAGGACTGTAAGCAGGGAAATCCCAGTTCTGATCTTCAATGTGTAAAAATGAAGCCAAGCCAATAGTAATTGAGGCAAGATCTATAAGAACAATACCAACAACAAAATACTTGTCCAAAAGGCAGAGGAGCAAAATCTAGTAATGTACAGAGATTTGATTAAACACATCAATTAGTTAGAAAATTTGTATGATATTTATTCTTCATCCTGGAGCACAAATCCACCTTTTCTAAAACATGAGGAAAAGAGCATACTTTAAGCAATTTAAACTCAATACTGAAACTGAAATCATCTTCCTGTTGACCTAGTCGATCTTCTAACTAGAGTTTGCAATACTCCAGGTCAAAAATCAAAAGCAGTACTCACCATTTCACAGTCAAGTCCAAAGAGAGGGTAGTTGTCTGTTACAAAACCTCTGTAGGCACAAAGTTTTCATAGTCAGAAAATCCTAGGAGAAGAATAAATAAAATATTTACCTTTAGAACTAGAGATGGCAACTATTACTCTTGGATTCATCTAGAGAAAACTGAAATACTACATTTGCTAGGCACTTTCTCTATGCCTGACACAGATTTAGTGATTAAGTAAGTGCAGTGTAGTAAATTACCTAGTGTGGCTTTTCTACCCATAAATCTTTGTAAACTCCAAGGTGGGATTTTCTATGAATAACTGAGGAGCTCGTGATTGCTGAAGTTGTCCACTTGGAGTATTTTTTTGGGAGTGGCACAAAACAATGTTCTGGGAGGTGCCCACTCTCTCTCAGGTGCTTAGAGTTCTGATGCTATGATTGGCTAGTTTGACCACCCTGCTGGGCTCAAAAGGAGGCCTCCTTGAGGCAGAACACTCTCTCTCTGACTGCTGGAAGAGGAAGACGTGCTGCTGCAAGAGACACACGCTCCTGAAAGAGACACGTGCTGCTGGGAAAGAGACGCAAGAGATGTGCATTGCTGAGTGAGACACCGAGGGACATGCACTGCTGGGGGAGAGACTGTGAGAGACTTGGCTGAGAGACAGTGGGCTGGGAGAGAGACTGAGCATTTTTCCTGAACTTGAATTGTAGCCTGTGGTGCTTCCCTAATAAACCCCATAATCTGTGAGCTCTGTGTGGCCACTGCAGCGAATTACTGAACCCAGGAGAGAGGTGGTGGGTGCTTTGGGAGGAACGTTTGGTGAAAGGGCTGGAGGGAGGAAGCATGTCTGGCCTTTCAGTAATAAGCCTTGGGTTACTGCTGGTAATCCTGTCTTCCTCTCGTGGGATTACAGGAGGTCAGAACATGTGGCCTCCTTGCCGTTTTTGCAGTAAGGGACAATGCATGCCCCAAGTTCTTCTCCATTCCCTCATCTTTAGACTCTGAGAAAAGAACGCAGGCTGCTATTATGGGGAATCCAGGAAGCTGAACTTTCAAGCAGTTACCCAAGTAATTTAAATTTTCTCCTTATGAGAAAAGAGTTTATAACTAAATTTGTAGTTAAATCCAAAGTGATTGGACTCTTTCCATGTAGGCACTAAAAGAGAATAAATAAAGGATGCAGATGTCTGCATGTGACCTCTTTCTTTCCTAAATAAAGCAAGAGAAAGCAGGAATGAGATTTCACCATCATGAACATCCAAAAGGATTTTACAGTTGGCAGCAAGTTTAAGTAACATTCTCTGTGTCCCCCACCCATACTCCACATGGAGACTTGCCTCCATTTTCCAGATTTATAGTCTAAAAAATCCCTAATTGATTCAGCTATAAGCTTAAGGTAATCTGTCTGCTGTGTACACTGTGTGACTCTTCAGGCACATCCAGCTCAAATGCCCAAAAGCATTTGAAGCATTATAGATTCTCACTTTCAGAAGGAGGCTGAAGCAGCAAAGGTAATGCCTAGATTTTATTTGACGGGAAACAAAGGGGAGTATGAAACCTTTTAACCAGTTTCTATCTCCTGGTATCCTGAACCTTAATTACAACTTAAAACAGCAAACTATGGGTGAACTCAGAAAGAGAGTTATCTCCAAATCTGGGAGCTACTAAACAGCTACTCACCTTGACTAGATTGGCAGTGGCAATAAACAAATAGAAATAAAATTAATAATAATAGCTTTTTTTTTTGCACACTAGGAATCCTGTTAATCAGTTTAAGTACATTAACTCATTAATCCTCATGACAATCCTACAGTATATTAACTATTAGCTCCATTTTACAGATGCTCTTTTTACTTAAATAAGTTTTATTTTAAAAGGAAATGGAAATTTATGTATCTAGAATATATAGAGAACTCTTATAACTCAATAATGAAAAGACAAATAACCCAATTGAAAAATGGGCAAAGGAGCTGAATACACATTTCTCCAAAGACAAACAAATGATTAATAAGAACATGAAAAGATGCACCAGCATCATCAGTCATCAGGGAAATGCACATCAAAACCACAATGAGATACTACTTTACAACCCCTAGGATGGCTATTATCAAAAAGAAAGATAATAACAAGTGTTGGCAAGGATGTACAGTACTTACCAGTAGAAATGTAAAGTGATAAACTGTCTGGCAGTTCCTCAAAAGGTTAAACACAGAGTTAACTTTCTGACCCACAATTCCACTCCCAGAAAACAAAAACACAAAAATGTGTGAATGAAAGTTCATAGCAGCATTACTCATCATAGCCAAAAAGTGGAAACAACTCAAATGTCCATCAGCTGATGCATAGGTAAACCAAACATAGTATAGCCATACATGGAATATCATTTGGCAATGAAAATAAATGAAGTATTGAACACAAAAACATTTGCAGCAGTATACTGACAGAGGTGCAAGCTAGATTCAGAAGAGGACATGGAACAAGGGATATCATAGCCGCTGTCAGATGGATCTTGGCTCAAGGCAAAGAATACTAGAAACATGTTTTCTTGTGTTTTATTGACTATGCAAAGGCATTTGATTGTGTGGATCATGACAAATTACGGATAACACTGAGAAGAATGGGAATTCCCGAGCACTTGATTGTACTCATGAGGAACCTGTACCTTGACCAGGAGGCTGTCATTCGAACAGAACAAGGGGACAAGTACATGGTTGAATCAAGAAGGAAGTGCGTCAGGGTTGTATCCTTTCCCCATACTTATTCAATCTATATGCTGAGCAAATAATCCAAGAAGCTGGACTATATGAAGAAAAACGTGGCATCAGGATTGGAGGAAGAATCATTGTTACTTGAGACATGCTGATGATACAACTTTGCTTGCTGAAAGTGAGGATGACCTGAGGCACTTACGGATGAAGACTGAAGAACACAGTCCGCAGTATGGATTACATCTCAATATAAAGAAGACAAAAATCCTCACAACTGGACCTATAAGCAGCATCACGATAAATGAAGAAAAGATTGAGGTTGTCAAAGAATTCACGTTGCTTGGTTCTACAATCAACGCCAATGGAAGCAGCAGTCAGGATATTAGAGGACGCAAACACTGGGCAGGTCTGCTGCGAAGTAACTCTTTCAAGTGCTGAGGAGCAAGGATATCTTCCCTGAGTACTAAGGTATGCCTGACACAGGCCATGATATCTCCAATCACCTCGTATGCATGTGAGAGCTGGACAATCAATAAGAAAGACCGAAGAAGAGTTGATGCTTTTGAGCTGTGGTGCTGGTGAAGAATGTTGAAAATACCATGGACTGCCAAAAGAACTAACAGATCTGTCCTGGAGGAAGTGCAGCCGAGATGCTCCTTGGAAGCGAGGATGGCCAGACTTTGTCTCACCTACTTTGGTCATGTTGTCAGAGGGGACCATTCCCTGGTGAAGGATGGAGAAGGTGGAGGGTCGACGAAGAGGGGAATGCCTTCGACGAGATGGATTGATACGTGGCTGCAACAATGGGCTCAAGTATAGCAAGGATCATGGAGCTGGCGTGGGATCGGGCGGTGTTTCATTCTGCTGTGCATGGGGTCGCCATGAGTCAGAAACGACTCGACAGCACCTAACAACAACAACAACACAGATGAACCTTGAAAACAAGCTCAATGAAAGAAGACAGTCACAAAATACCATATATTATATAATTCCATTTATACGAAATGTCCAGAATAGGTGTATCTAAAGACAGGAAGCAAACCAGTGGTTGCCTAGGGCTGTGGGCAAAGGGAAAAAATGGGGAGTGACTGCTAATGGGTATGGGATTTCTTTTGGGTGATGAAAGTGTTCTAAAATTGATAGTGATGTCACACAACACTGTGAACATTCTGAAAACCACTGAATTATACATTTTATATGGGTGAATTATAAAACCAAGAACACCAAACCCATTGCTGTTGAGTTATTTCTGCCTCACAGTGACCCTATAGGACACAGGAGAACTGCCTCACAAGGTTCCAAGGCTGTAATCTTTATGAGAGCAGACTGCCACAACTGTCTACCATGAGTGGCTGGTGGGTTCAACCAACCAACCTTTCAGTTAGCAGCTGAGCACTTCACCAGGGCTCCCAGGGTGAATTATATAGTTGTTGTTGTTGTTTGCCGTCAAGTCGAATTATATAGTATATTAAATAAATCTCAATAAAGTAGTTTTAAGCAAAGGAAATTTAATATCACTACTGTAAATGAGCACCACTTGTCTGTTAGCTTGTTATACTGTGGGGGCTTGTGTGTTGCTGTGAGCCTGGAGGGTATGCAACAGTATTTCAAATACTAGCAGGGTCACCGATGGTGGACAGGTTTCAGCAGAGTTCCCAGATTAAGACAGACTGGAAGAAGTAAGGGGCCATCCACCTCTCAAAAGTATTGCCAGTGAAAACTTTATGAATAGCAGTGAAAGACTGTCTGATATATTATGGGAGAACTTTATGAACAGCCTGAAACACTGTCTGATATAGTGCTGGAAGATGAGCCCCTCAAGTTGGAAGGCACTCAAAATAAGACTAGGGAAGAGCTGCCTCCTCAAAGAAGAGTCAACCTTAATGATGTGGATGGAGTAAACTTTTCGGGACCTCCATCTGCTGATGGGGCATGACTCAAAATGGGAAGAGAAAGCTGCAAATATCCATTAGCAATCGGAACATGGAATGTACATAGCATGAATCTAGGACAATTAGAAGTTGTCAAATATGAAATGGAACACATAAAGATCAATATGCTAGGCATTAGTGAGCTGAAATGGACTGTTTTTGGCTGTTCTGAAGAACGTGGCATCAGGATTGGAGGAAGACTCATTAACAACCTGCAATATGCAGACAACACAACTTTGCTTGCTGAAAGTGAAGATGACTTGAAGCACATACTAATGAAGATTAAGGACTACAGTCTGCAGTATGGATTACCCATGCCAGGTATTTAGGTCAAATGACATGGAAGAGCAGAGATTGAGAGCTCCAGCCTCTGGCTCACCTAGGCTTAAGTTCCAGTCCCACCATTACTAACTTTAATCAGGCAAGTTGCTCAGTTTTAAGGAAACTGTGAGATGGGAATAAACAGTACATATTCCTTATAGAACTGTTAAGAATTAAAAATGATGCATGCAGAGTGATTAATAAAAAAACAAAAAACCAAACCCATGCTGTCAGGTCAATTCCAACTTATAGTGCCCCTATAGGACAGAGTAGAATTGCCCCATAGGGTTTCCAAGGCTATAAATCTTCATAGAAGGAGATTGCCATGTCTTTCTTCCAAGGAGCAGCTGGTGGGTTAAGCTGTTGATCTTGTGGTTAGCAGCTGAGCTCTCTAACCATTGGGCCACCAGTGCTCCTTAAGATTACTATATTGCCAAGTATATAGGCATACTCAATAAATATGCCAAAAATACTAAAAAAAAAAAAAAAAAAAAAATGCAGATCCTATTTTAAGTGTGCCTAGTCTTGTGATTTTTTAAGAGAAGCAGAATAATACAGATTTTATTTAAATTTTACAATTTTTCAGAACACCACAGCCCCAATAAAACAGGACAGTATCTACTTGGGAATTACAGATTGCAATTTGGCAATAAACGTTTTGCCCAGATAACCACAGAAAATCAGAGACAAAGCTAATCTCAACACGAAGTTTCTAAATCTTTATCCTTTTTACTTTCTACAACATCTACTTAACTTGATGGCACCTAACAACTACTAACAGCAACCACATTTATTGCTTGCTTAGCCAGGCTGCCAAGGAGCACACAGTCTAAGACATGTGCACCAGTGTCACATGGCGGGGAGGACCTGACTCAGCTCTAAAATAAAATTTTCTTAACTTACATGTCTGAACGCCCTTTGGAGAAATCCAAAAACTCCAAACAGAACCTGTAAAAGTGCAGCTGACTCATTCCCTGCAGAACAAAAACCACCACAATGTTCAGGTGGTTTTGGTGAAAAAGCTGACACCAGCTGTTGAAAAATCAAACCAACAAAACTAAGGGTGAGATCCTCAAGTTAGTTACATAAATACAGAAGGGGAGTGTGAAAAAAAAAAAAAGCAGGGAGCAACAGCTAATGGAATTTACCATCACTGCCTGACAGCTCTTACTGCACAGAATTCAAAAAAAGAGCTCTTGAGTGTGTTGCATTCAAATCAAGCAAAATACCAAGTGAAATGCAATGCTTTCATTATCCTGTTAAGGCTTGTTTTAAATGAGAGCTAAACTCACTTTACAAAGACACATCCCCAAGATCCCAACCTGTTCTGCAGCCTTTCCTAAACTGGGTAATCCTGTGGCTGGTTTTAAGAAAGCTAGTTTTAGATGAATTGACAGACTAATAATGGCAGTATCTGTTGTGCAGAGAAAGGCTTTGAGGTATCTAGCCAATTCAACACCCACGGCAGTAGCAGTCAAGATATCAGATGTCGTATTGTGCTGGGAAAATCTGCTGCAAAGGACTTCTTTAAAGTGTTAATGAGCAAAAATGTCACTTTGAAGACTAAGGTGCACCTAACCCAAACCATGGTATTTTTAATAGCCTCACACGCATATGAAAACTGGACAGTGTATAAGGAAGACCTAAGAAAAAGCTCATGCCTTTGAATTGTGGTACTTGCAAAGAATACTGAAAATACCATGGACTGCCAGAAGAATGAACAAATCTGTCCTGAAAGAAGTGCAGCAGGAATGTTCCTTGGAAGTGAGAATGGCCAGACTTCATCTCACCTATTTTGGTCATGTCAGAAGGGACCATTCCCTGGGGAAGGATATCTTTCTTGGTAAAGTAGAGGGCAGAGAAAAAGGGAAAAACCCTTAGTGAGATGGATTGATAGAGTTGCCGCAATGCTGGGCTAAAGCACAGCAAGAATTGTGCAGATGGTGCAGGACCAGGCAGTGTTTCATTCTGTTGTAAGCAGGGTTTCTGTAAGATGGAACTGACTCGATGGCACCTAACAACCACCACCACCACCACCACCACCACCAATTGACAATAACCTCCTCCACCTGGATGTATGCATTTGAAAATCTCTCTACTGGTACACATAAAAACACAATTTTCATTCAGATATTTGTGTTAGACTGGGTTCTCTAGAGAAACAAAACCAGTAAAGCTTATATATATATATATATATAGAGAGAGAGAGAGAGAGAGAGAGAGAGAGAGAGAGATTGAAATTTATCTTAGGAAAATGGCTCAAACACTTATAGAAGCTGTCAAGTCCAAAGTTCTTGAATCAAACGTCAAGTTGGAGGCTTTTCCTGACTCTTCCAGCTCCAGGGCTGAGGAGCTCATGGTTGGCAGGTAGTATACTGGCTGTTGACTCCAACAAATGACGAATCCAAGATCTCCAAGCCAAATGGTGCACTGTCCACTCACAGAAAGTTGTAGGCAGAACAACAGAAGCCTGATCCACAGAAGAATGTCTCTTTTCCCAGGTGTTCATTAATATACTGCAAGCAAGCCAAATCCCTAGAGAAACTCCCTTTCAACGGATTGGCTGCTCAAAACATATTCATCTGATCCTGCAAAAAGGGCAAGGAGGCCACATGTTCTGACCTCCTCTAATCCTACAAGAGGAAGGCAGAATTACCATCAATAGCCCAAAGCCTATTACTGGGAGGCCAGACATGCTGCCTCCCTCCAGCCCTTTCATCAACCGTTCCTCCCAAAGCACCACCACCTCTCTCCTGGGTTCTATAATTCACTGCAGTGGGCACACAGAGCTCACAGATTATGGGGTTTATTAGGCAAGCACCACAGGCTACCATCTGAGTTCAGGAAAAATGCTCAGCCTCTAACCAACAGTCTCTCTCAGTCTCTTTCCCAGCAGTGCTGGTCCCT